CTGATGCCAGGGCTGCTCCGTGGGGTCGCTGGGGAGCTTGCAGAAGAGGTGGGCGCTCCAACAGCAGAACTCCCGCCTGACGCGCTCGGAAAAAACACGCGCGTTTCCGGCTGGGTGTAACTCCTGTGCTGGGACGAATCACACAAACGAAAAAAAGGAGAAGGGGTTCGGGGTTTTGCTGAAATACAACATCTGGAAACGGTTTGGAGGCGTCTTTTTGTGGATGTCACACATGTTCTTGCCTCTGTCGGTGATTGTCTAGTACTCTTTCAATACTCTTTTGATATCCTACAGGGGTGGATCTTGTTTTCTAGACACAATGATACCAAGATGCCTCCAACAAAACATTGGGGGAGATCAGATCCTCTAATTTTGAGACAAAGCCGAACATTTCAAGTCTCCAAAGCTCCTTCTTGAAGCTCCTTATTGAAAACCCGTATAAGCACCCCTTTTAGAAAATTGGAAAAAAACCGCTCGAGGTGCCGGTTTGGTCTTCGGTTCTTTGGGATGGGCTTTTGGGACTCCCAGGAAAGTCTTATCCGTTGAAAACCCTTTTTGCCACGCGAAGGGAAACCTCTACCGCGCGGCATGAGGGCATGAGGCTTGAGGCTTGGTTCAGAACAGCCCAGTTGTTTTGGCTTGTCTAAAAAAGAACGACAGCAAGCAAGCAAGCAAGCAAGCAAGCAAGCAAGCAAGCAAGCAAGCAAGCAAGCAAGCAAGCAAGCAAGCAAGCAAGCAAGCAAGCAAGCAAGCAAGCAAGCAAGCAAGCAAGCAAAGCAAGCAAGCAAGCAAGCAAGCAAGCAAGCAAGCAAGCAAGCAAGCAAGCAAGCAAGCAAGCAAGCAAGCAAGCAAGCAAGCAAGCAAGCAAGCAAGCAAGCAAGCAAGCAAGCAAGCAAGCAAGCAAGCAAGCAAGCAAGCAAGCAAGCAAGCAAGCAAGCAAGCAAGCAAGCAAGCAAGCAAGCAAGCAAGCAAGCAAGCAAGCAAGCAAGCAAGCAAGCAAGCAAGCAAGCAAGCAAGCAAGCAAGCAAGCAAGCAAGCAAGCAAGCAAGCAAGCAAGCAAGCAAGCAAGCAAGCAAGCAAGCAAGCAAGCAAGCAAGCAAGCAAGCAAGCAAGCAAGCAAGCAAGCAAGCAAGCAAGCAAGCAAGCAGCCATGCAAGCAAGCAAGCACAAGCAAGCAAGCAAGCAAGCAAGCAAAGCAAGCAAGCAAGCAAGCAAGCAAGCAAGCAAGCAAGCAAGCAAGCAAGCAAGCAAGCAAGCAAGCAAGCAAGCAAGCAAGCAAGCAAGCAAGCAAGCAAGCAAGCAAGCAAGCAAGCAAGCAAGCAAGCAAGCAAGCAAGCAAGCAAGCAGCAAGCAAGCAAGCAAGCAAGCAAGCAAGCAAGCAAGCAAGCAAGCAAGCAAGCAAGCAAGCAAGCAAGCAAGCAAGCAAGCAAGCAAGCAAGCAAGCAAGCAAGCAAGCAAGCAAGCAAGCAAGCAAGCAAGCAAGCAAGCAAGCAGCAAGCAAGCAAGCAAGCAAGCAAGCAAGCAAGCAAGCAAGCAAGCAAGCAAGCAAGCAAGCAAGCAAGCAAGCAAGCAAGCAAGCAAGCAAGCATGCAAGCAAGCAAGCAAGCAAGCAAGCAAGCAAGCAAGCAAGCAAGCAAGCAAGCAAGCAAGCAAGCAAGCAAGCAAGCAAGCAAGCAAGCAAGCAAGCAAGCAAGCAAGCAAGCAAAGCAAGCAAGCAAGCAAGCAAGCAAGCAAGCAAGCAAGCAAGCAAGCAAGCAAGCAAGCAAGCAAGCAAGCAAGCAAGCAAGCAAGCAAGCAAGCAAGCAAGCAAGCAAGCAAGCAAGCAAGCAAGCAAGCAAGCAAGCAAGCAAGCAAGCAAGCAAGCAAGCAAGCAAGCAAGCAAGCAAGCAAGCAAGCAAGCAAGCAAGCAAGCAAGCAAGCAAGCGGCAAGGGAAACAAGGCGGACTCAGTGCAGTCCAATAGTTTACAGCACATTCCGATGCTTCGGAGGCTGGATGCAGTGCCACTTGCAATAATTAAGAAGTCCACTTGCCTCCATGAGGAACCAGTATCCTGCTCTCAAAAATTGCTAACTGAAGGCCAACCCCGCTTTGCCCAGGGCCCATTTTCTCGACCGAACCTCCAGGCGTTTCCAGCCGAACAAGTCGAGAAACGGAAACGTCCAAAAGGAAAGTCGAGGGAGACATGGGACCTCAACATGTGACGACATCCTTCCGATTTCTGGGAGTTTGGCACACCTCCGAAGGTCTGGGGCAATGTGTGAAGCACAACTTCCTGCTTTGATTGGAACAGCACTCAACCCAATGAAGCGGTGGACAGGGAATCCATCCGAAGTATTTTGAGACCCCCCCCGGACCCCAAACGCTTGCTATGGACCGCTGCGAAACCATGCCGGTCTTGCCCAAGGACATCCTGGCGCGTATGGGCGCGAGGAATCTTGTTTCAACAAAATCACACCTAGACTCAACGTGACAAGGCCTGCAGTGAGTTCCAGACGCATACTTGGATCCGAGGTTCGCTAAATAGGCTGGCGACGTCCTAGGGTTTTTAGGATGATGTGGGGGTGCCGCAGACAGCCAATTCCTGTTTCCAACAGGCTGGTAAGTGCCCAATGCGCTCAAATCTGTGAACGGCTTGCTTTTGTGGGTTGGTTTGAAGGGGTTCAAAACGAAGCCCCCGATTGTTGGGGGGGGGGGGGAACATTTGGAGACACACGCACTTGAGCATCAAGATGCCGTTGACTCTAACAACTTTGCTACAAAGGCTTATATGCACCGTATTACAAACCGGAAGGCCAGGTGGTTGGTCCTGAGTTTCGTGGCACCCACCAAGAAACATGTTACGAAATAGCGGCACCCCAAAAATGGTTTCGGTGGTCCTGTTGGCTTTGTAAGCCAGCCCGCTTGAGGTGCGTGTTGCGACATGTTGCACTTGCCACAGCCAAATAGTGAGGAACAGCACAGCCAACATGATTGGCTTCCTCTTGGTTTCCCCGAACTTCCGGTGGCCATGGGATTTATTTGTCGTTTTTTAGCAATACACAATAACATATATATATATATATACACGTACCCTCTTGTTTGGTAGCTGATTTCGAAGGGAAACTCTCGTCCAAAAACGGAATGATGGTGCCACCAAACGTCTGGAGAAGGCTGGGCCCAAAGCAACTGGCAACACAGACCCCTGCCATTGCCATTATCGCCGCCTGGAAAAAAAGAGACCATATGTCCGGTAGTGAAATCGATTCCCTCTAAAACCAACTAGGCAAAATAACAAGTATTCCTCTCGGCAACTGGAAGTCTTTGTATGTGGCGGTTTGTCAATATTTCCATTCGGCCGCCAGTTTTGACCATGCGTGTTTCGTTCCCATTTAGTGGTTGAGACATCTTCTTTTTAGTGGTCGAACATAGCCTAGGTCCTCCAGTAGAATAATCATAATAATAATAATAATGGTACCCTTTTTATGTAGTCTACTTTAGTAGGGGAACCCTCCCCAAAAAAGAAATCGGTAAAAAGACACCTAGCTGGGGGACCTAGTAACGAGTACTCCTTGCAGCAAATGGAAAACCCCTCACGTCCTCCACGATCGCAAGGACCCGCTCGTGGGTGGCCAAGTGATGCACCAGGTCCTCGAGTTCTCACACGGTCTGCTCCAGTTTCGCCCCCCCTCCCAGGGAAAACGAAGGAAAACCACAAAAAGCGAAAAGGGCTAAAACTCTGGGAATGGACGAACTGACTGAGGGTTTGGTTCCCCCCACTTCCCAAGATTGACAATGCAATGCAAACTTGCAGTTTGCCACTGTGATAGCACGTGAGGTCGAGCCCAGTCTAACCTTTCGCCATGTTGGATGCTCTGTGTGAAAGACCAGTTTTGGAATATTTCTTGTGGGAAAAGGACATGAAACACTGATTTGGTCAACCTTTTGGCTGCCCAAGCCGCACCTTGTTTTGGCAGTCGGCTTTTGCGAAACTCGGTGCATTAGCGCCGGCGCCGCAATGCCCTTCAACACTTTGCGCACCCGGAGCCATTCCAGACCCTGAGGCCGATCAGGATCTGCAGGCCGGCAACGGCGCTGGCGAGCACAGGTGACCAGTGCCCGACCAGCTCCACCCCCGTCAACATCTGAGGGGCAACCATGAGACACAGCATGGGCGCCGCCAAGGCTAAAATGAACATGTTCACAGCAAAGTTCAGCACTCCTCCTCGATCCCTGCTGAGCTGCCGGCTCCAGAACAACAACCATGCGCAACAGGTGGGAAAAATGCCAAGCCACAAGCCGCAGCCAAACAGTAGCCACCATGCAGCGGTGAAGTGAGCACGTCCAAGCTCTCGCTCCGTAATGGCATACCCGGCCACCAAATCAAGCATCGTCCAACAAGCTGGGGCCGTTGTGATTTGGAAGATCCACAACGGCACCGCATTCCGCCCGAAGTGCTTGGCAAAAGCAGGCAGCACCACCGAGCGGACTGCATGTATAAAGGCATCTTTGCTACCGAACCATTTCACGATGCACTCCTCGATCAGAACCCGATCACAGGGGATCGGGTTGCCGTCCTGTAGGTGCTGTTTGTCCTTAGATTGCGTTGAGGCACCAACCAGAAATCGATGATGACCTGTCATGACAATGTCTATCCAACACCGACACACATTTAGGATACAAAGAAGCCAAGCAAATGCAAGTGTCACAGCAGAAGCATTTTGCGTCCTGGAGGGCCAAGGTGGCAAGCTCATCTAGCATATGCTTCACGTCCCGCACATAGGCGCGCATATTTGAAATGATCAACTGCCCCGAGGGGATCATCATGGCGGGAAGGATCACCACCACCCTGCCAGGGCTTTGCTTTCAACGAGGCCTAGGTGTCCTTTTGGAGAAAAACAAGAGAGATAGGTTTCCCGGGTAAATGGGGCATAAAACCCATCTGAACCGAAGCTAATAAACCAGCGCCTTCAAGTTTTTTAACCAAACTAACTCCTGAAAAGGACAACGCTCTCGAGCATCTCCCTGATTGCAGATTGAATACCCAAAAACAGGGTTGACCAGCTGCAAAAGAAACACATCAAAGGGGCCCGATTTTCGTAGGACGCAATCGGCTTCCCATCGCGCCGCCAGCTGACCGTGCCATTCACCAGGAGGATCCAGCAAAGGATGAAACCCAGGCTCACGCCAACGTTGAAGACCAAACAAACAGGACCTGTGTGAGTAGGAACAATGGCCAGGTCGCATTTCTCGCTGTCCGGCCGGCTTCTAATAAATGCGGCAACTTCGAACAAGCACCAGAGTCTTTTCACATACGTCACGTCCCACAAGACCAGCATTGTCTCAGACATCCTGAGGAAAGCGCCGATGCTTACCACGCCCTCGCTCTTCAGCTGCGTATTGGACTGGTTGATGCACATCCGGTCCAGGAAGGTGGAGGACTGATCCCGCCAAGCGAGCAGCACCACCAAATAGAAGGCCCAGCCCAGTCCGGTGGACCACAAGCTGGGCGCCGCGTAGTACCTGCAGTGAGGCTGGTGGCTGGTGGCTGAAGGCAAACCCTTCGCAGCGTTTCAAACAGAAGTCGGCGGCTTGCCAAGGCAACGGCAGGAGCGGAAGAAGACATGACCCTAGGAGCCCAGAAGAAAACATGACCCTAGCCCAGGACCTCAGAAATTGAGGCCCCCAAGGCCCTTCGGGGCTCCTAGGCTTAAGAAGAAGACATCAAATGGGAGAATGAGCTTCCGAGGTACCACTGCCCCTCCGCCTGCTGCGCTGCCCCCACCGGCAAAACCCTGAAGATGCAGAGAAGGCAACCGACCACCGCACCAAAAAAGCCGAACACGGCGGCGGGGAGCCCATTCTTCAGCACCAAAAGTGTGAGGATCCTCGGCGAAACCCCGAAAATGTCACACTCTGTGAGGTTGTCCCCTTTGTTGAGGGTACCCCGTGTGGGGCATGTTGTTTTTCTCTGGAAGTTCGCTGGACATGAGACATACCGGTGACATTCGAAGTCTCCCAAAAGTGAAAATCCGCTAAGAGTCCACTGGCGACGCATGGCGAGGTGCTGAGAAACCAACTCTGACCCCTCAAAATCGGGGACGCCTTTTGGTTTCAGAAGCCCCACCTCGTTACTCAGAGCAAACCAAAAGGTCACTTCCTTCTCGCACAAGGAGCCCGCTTCTTGTATGCCTGAATGTTTCTCCGCTGCTACCTTTGCGTTGCTTTCCGCGCCGAAAAAAAGGAGTTTCCCTGTGATTCTGCCCCAGTTGTTTTCTTTGTGGTTGCCATCCAGCAGAGAAACACTACCATGAGGGGGTGGGGGGTCCGAAATTTGACTTATCTAGTGTGAGAACCATGAAAGGGAAAATTAAAGCATACATGGGGATCTCCAGGGGTCACCCCCTCCCCTAATTCCACTTTTAAGGGGTGGTGACTGGTGAGGATGCCGGAAAACTGATCACGCCCGCGTCTGCAGGCTACCCTCGCAAGAGCGGCAACGTTTATCTGCTCCAGCGACACAAAAACACAAGAAGCTAGGCCAAGAGTCTTTCGCCATGGATGCAGCTGCCAACTGTGACTCCAGAACTCCTATGTCAAAAGACCGTCAAAGGAGTTGCTCTCTCCACATGGCAGACTTTGGCGCGAACAAAACGGAAACCATTCTTTCCGATAGCCTTGTGTCCTTGTGGAACCTAAGGGTATCCCCCTGGAAGGTGATTCCCCGCTCAGAACAAAAAACCGTTTTCATGGGAGGAGAACCTGGGATTTTTGACTGAGGTCAATGGGAATGCAGTCCTGGATGCGATTCGCGGCGCTGCTCATTTCATACCAACGCTCATCTACGCCTCCTGGGCGCAGTTTCTGGCTGCGAATCATACACGTGAGAGGCTTGCCTAGCAGGCTTCAGCAGGGAATCCAATACACACTCAGTGCTCCTGGCTCAGACATGCCTATTTTAAGCCGCTGGGCACAACATGGCTGTGGGTCACAACGAATGGTTCCATTTTGGGGTAGGTGCACCATCCATTTTAGTCTACTTTAGTGGGGATTGGGATGTTCACTCGGGGTGGGGGATTTTGACCCATGGCATATCAGCCTTTACAAATCCTTCAAGGCCGTAAGAACCGCGCCACTCGCCAGCCGTCAACACTCAGTGTGGCCAAACTTGATGCAAGGCAAACGGATGCACAAGGCATGGATCCGGCCAACGGCACCTCAACGCAAACGGCATGGTGGCAACAAAACGGGCGGCTTGCAGCCCTCTGCTCAAAACGAAGAGAACCAAACAAAACCAATGAAACGCGCAACTGGATCAAAGCAAGGCTTCAGCAAGGCTTCCGCAAGGCCCGAGTTTCGGAATGGACCATGCTGTTGCTTCTGCATTGCTGGAGCATGTTTCTTTTTTTGAGAGAGTTTTCAACTTGGCAATGGACTAGGTGGGATTCGTTGTGAGCTTTTGCAAATGTCTATGCCGTCCCCTCCAAACAATGCATTCAGACATGAGAGAAGCCTGAACAAGACTCGCGAATCAAACCAATCGTAGCTACTGTTGAGGAGCCTGTGGGTGGCGCGGGCCTTTTTTGGCGTCCCTGTCCTGCTGAACCATTCGGCGTTTCACGTCCCCCCCTTCCACAATACCCTACCAAGCAGAAGGACCCCCAACCCGCCTCACAAATCACAAGTCACAAAACCACTACCCTAACACAAAACAACATTCTCGCAACAAAAAAACAAAACAGCCTGCATTGGTTCCCGCTTTTTCGTTTTTGCTGGCCAAGCATCGAATCCAGAAGATGCGACCCAACATCTGCAGGGCACAGCAAGCGGGAATTGACCTCACAATCTCTGGCCGCGTTGCCGTCATCGAGCATAGCCATGCCACTGTGATCTTTCCGGCCTGAAAACGGGCGGGATTACAAGCGACCCAAGCTCTGTGCTGACGTCTGTGTTTGGGAAAGCCAGCCTGGTCTCATCCAGTAAACCCTGATTTAGACGTTGGAACTCTCTTGTCCGGAACTTCCTGGATCCCCTCCAAACCCTTGAAAAGTGAGGCTTGTGACAAACTGCCACCGACAACTGCATCTGCCTCCCCCTGATCCTCGACCACCTCCTGCGCTGGAGGTGGATGGTTATCCTCGACTACCTCCTGCGCTGGAGGTGGATGGTTATCCTCGACTACCTCCCGCGCTGGAGGTGGATGGTTTTCCTCGACTACCTCCTGCGCTGGAGGTGGATGGGTATCCTCGAACACCTCCTGCGCTGGGGATATATGTCTTGCAATTGTTTGCATACTCACCACGGCATCCTCCTCACTTGCTTGGACTTGAACCGGCAAGAAAACATACTGTCTGTATTGTGTGGAAACACCCGGGGGGGGGGGGGGAAAAACAACAAACAAACTAAGACTGGCTCAGCGTCATGGCAACTTCCGGATCAGCGAATTCCTGTCACTTGCATGCACATCTTGAGCCCACGCGCGCGCAGCTGTGCATAAGTTGTAGACGGACTCACAGCCCAGCCCCCGTGGATATGCAGCCTTTTCAATTTTGCGGTCCACGAAACAGGCTCGCAAATGTCCAAATGGCCACTTCCCATGAACAACCAACAGCAAAAACAATGCCACGAGGGTTATGGATGGACCCGAAAGGCACGCCAGGTGCTTCCAAAACCGTGCTTGCCGCGTGGACCTGCTCGTGAAACTGATGTTTTTTGCGCTCGGCTTGTGGGTTGCCAACAGCAAACCCGCATGGAGCTCCGCCTTGAGCCTGCTTTTTCGGGAAGTTGCAAGATTGGAACGGAGGCTGTTGCGACATCCCTGTAGAACTCCAACTTCAACTCTCAGGACCTTGGTGTGCTACATCGATGCAGAATGGACGCAGGCCAAACAACATCCAGATGGAACTTTCAACAAGAAGAGCGCAGGCCACAAACATAAAACCTGTTAAGCTCCAATGGGCATCGCATGAAGCCCATTCAAGACCCCCTGCTAGGCAAGATCCCCATAACGCACGCGCCCGTGGAACTCCAACTTCAACTTTCAGTGACTTTCAGGACCTTACTGTTCCTCGCCAATGCAAAGGAACAAGGTGCCCCGGAGCGCCCCCCAAACCTGTGTCACACGCTTTGATTGATGGGCCTTTTCGGCCTTTTGGTTTGGGGTTGGCTCAAGCTTCAGCCAGGTACACATGGCATTGGGAGTCGCAGCGCGAAATAATTGGCGCGCTGTGTGAGCTCCGGCCATGAAGCTGCGGCTTTGCTGTCACTCTCTATCCCTCTCGACCTCCCCTCCCACCCTCCTGCTCTTCCCCTTCCTGTGTTTTCTCTTGGGCTCCTCCGTTCATGTTTGTGTGTTCGCAAACACCACCAGCTGACTTGGAAAATGCTTTGCGAAACTTCAAGCCTTTCCGGCGAAAAACCCAAAGCGGCCAACCGCGCCCAGAAGCAGACCCCGCAGGATGTGATCAAGAAATTGCCAAGATTCCTCACTGTCCGCGTGTTTGCAGCTGCGCTGTCTCAAACAATCAACATTGCCCGAGGCCATGAAGCTGCAAAGGTTGGCGAAACAACCAAAACAAAACAACAAAAAACAAAGCGACATAAACAAACAAACAACCAACCAAACAAACAAACACACAAACAAACAAACAAACACACAAACAAACAAACAAACAAACACATAAGCAAGAAGCAAGCAAGCAAGCAAGCAAGCAAGCAAGCAAGCAAGCAAGCAAGCAAGCAAGCAAGCAAGCAAGCAAGCAAGCAAGCAAGCAAGCAAGCAAGCAAGCAAGCAAGCAAGCAAGCAAGCAAGCAAGCAAGCAAGCAAGCAAGCAAGCAAGCAAGCAAGCAAGCAAGCAAGCAAGCACAAGAAACAAACAAACAAACAAACAAACAAAGCAACATAAACCAACAAAGCAACATAAACCAACAAAGCAACATAAACAAACAAAGCAACATTAACACACAAATAAGCAAACAAACTAACAAACAAGCAAGCAAGCAAACAAACAAACAAACAAACAAGCAAACAAACAAAGAACTGCCCAACCAACGCACATTCACATACACACAAGCCCAAGCCCGCCTGATGCAGTGGCCGTGAGAGAGTATGGGCTGCCCGGAAGCGCGAGTCCACGTCCTGGGGCGGCCAAAATCTGCTTCCCTCTAATATTTAATAGGTGTTTTGGATCTGGTGGTTTGGAGAAGACATGGGGGTTCAATTGCCAAAAAAAATAATCCAACTGCCCAAGGATGCCAAGAGCTGCCAACTCCCAAATCATGGCACTTGTAAGGGCTTTTGTGCGAACCAAATTAGACAAACCGCCGCGGACCTCATGCGCCCTCTGATATCAGAAAATGCGACTGTGCACATGTCCATTGCTCATGGCTGTTGCGGTGCGGCTCAAGCACAGGCCAGAATGGAAACAACACACCTTTCACCTCCCACCCTCCGACATGGAAGCCGACTGACACTTAGGCCATCCTCGACTTGTCAGCTTGCATTGTGGGAGGGGGTACGTGTGTAATACATCCTGGGTAATCCTGTAGTTGTCAAGAACCTCGTGGGCCAATCTTGTGGTGCTTTGAAAGGGAAGCAACATGAAAAGACCCACACACACACACGCACCCCTGTCTTGAAGGGCCGCGACTTGCCGGTTTGGGAAAGCGGCCGGGCCAGGCAAATTGACAGACCTGGGAAAATCCGGGAGCTCGAAAGCGAGAGGCCAAAGCAAAGGGAGCTCCCGTGGACTCCCGTGAGCGGCCAGACAAGGGAAGCCCTGTCAAATGCCATGGTCTGTGGTTGGTGGTTATGGTGTGGTTGTTGGTTTTGGCCGTCAATTGCCACGGTTTGTGGTTGGTGGTTATGGTTGTGGTTGTTGGTTTTGGCCGTCAATTGCCACGGTTTGCGGTTGGTGGTTATGGTTGTGGTTGTTGGTTTTGGCCGTCAATTGCCACGGTTTGTGGTTGGTGGTTATGGTTGTGGTTGTTGGTTTTGGCCGTCAATTGCCATGCTTTGTGGTTGGTGGTTTTGGTTGTGGTTGTTGGTTTTGGCCGTCAATTGCCACGGTT